TCTCTGCATTGTTCTCACATAAGGGTACAATAATGTATATATACTAAATGTTATATTAGTGAAATTGTAAAAGATATATATATTTTTAAAAAGAGTAACGATGGAGTTTCTTGCTCGTTCTTCTCCATTTGAATCTACAATTTGGAATGAGCACCTAGCTTCACTGACGAACAGACTGACAGACTACTTTTCTATTTTGACGTTTCAAAAGTACCTATTTATGGTTTAGTTGGAATAAATGATTATGACTTTGACTTTGACATAAAAACTTACAAATTTTACCTCTTTATAATATTAGTATAGATTAAAGAAATAAACAAAACTTCGAAGGCTGATTAATACTTACTATACAATGTTGTGTCCCGTCCTTGGCACTGATTCACGGGGGGCACGGCAATTAAATATTGGTAAACATATGTAAACATTCATATTTTATAAGGAAATTCATACTTGCCCGTGCCTCAGCTGTACGCTGGCCGGACATTTAAATATCATATATATTGTTTTGCTTTGCTCCAAAATGGTACGCTATGGGATGAACAATCAATGTCAAAGCAAAACAACCGGAGAAAGGTGGTCGAATCCCGACCGTGGCACGGCCCGGAGACGGCACGGTATAGCTGAAACAACAGGCCCGACCGAAGCATGGCATAGCTTTTCTTTTTTTTCTTGTGAAAAACATCAAAAAAGAAAAACAATAAAAATGCATTTATTTTCCACCACTAATGTAGGAACAGTTTAGATAGTCTATAACAATTCATGGGTGGACTGGAGCCTAAACTAGGGAACCCCTGTATTTCAGGACTCCAGGTCACTCGCCTGCGGAACAAGTATTGGATAACACATTAACAAGGAGGTGGACAGGGATTTGCTTTGTGTGCGCGCGCGCGCTCGTGTATGTGTGTGTGTGTGTGAGAGAGAGAGAGAGAGAGAGAGAGAGAGAGAGAGAGAGAGAGGAGAGAGAGAGAGAGGAGAGAGAAGAGAGAGAGAGAGAGAGAGAGGAGAGAGAGGGAGAGAGAAGAGAGAGAGAGAGAGAGAGAGAGAGAGAGAGAGAGAGAGAGAGAGAGAGAGAGAGAGAGAGAGAGAGAGAGAGAGAGAGAGAGAGAGAGAGAGAGAGAGAGAGAGAGATAGAGAGAGGAGAGAGAGAGAGAGAGAGAGAGAGAGAGAGAGAGAGAGAGGAGAGAGAGAGAGAGAGAGAGAGAGAGAGAGAGAGAGAAAGTCTAATGACTTCTCCCGCCCAGGGTAAGGCGAGAGATAGAGTGTCAGACTCTTACTGTATGCTGTAACTGCGCTTGGGTCTGGTTCTGGGCGACGAGCTACCCTTACTCGCCGTCCGCAGACTCGCGCTTAAGGTGGCCAGAGATCGCCTCTCAACCATCCTTAATGATCTCAGATAATTTAATTGCAAAGAAAATGTTTTGAAGAAACTTAAAGATAGATTCTATTTGTTTAAATTACATAACTTTGCACAAATTGTTTATAATGAACTTTAAGATATAGCAAATCAATGATTGCAAAGCGATAATTAAATTCATTTTGTAACTTTCGTACTTACCTAATTTGTTAGCTACATTTATGGGATTGATATGAACAATGGTACTGTTGATGAGCTTTTAAAGGTGGAATTAGGGTCAATCTTAATTTAGGTGTTTGTATTAACGTTAGAACTACTGCGTAAGTAGTTGCCTTTAGAGTTTCGTAACCTGGCAAGTACCAATGTGACTTTTTCCAAGTTATATGTACTTTCTGTGATTATATAGACACCTAATCGTGAGGAAACCTGGACTTATAATTTCTAATTATAAGTATGAAATCGCCAACCCGCATTGAGCAAGCGTGGTGATTATTGCAGTGGGTACTTATAGGCTGATGATGATGATTTAGCGTATATTTTTTCTGTCTTTTTAATCTTTTTATTTTTTGTGTTGTATTTTTGTTTTCTTTCTATTTCTTTATTAATATCTATCTAATAAATTTACGACAATCTAGTTTGCTTAAAGGACCTCTTTTCTGCTTTATGTATTCTTTTTATCTATTCGTTATACTGACAAAACTTGTCTGACAAAACTTGTCTGACAAAAATTGAAAAGTACGAGCAATTTTACATATGCAAGTGACTTTACTTCTAGGGATAGGCAAGGCATACAATTTTCACATATACATGATACCCAAACGAAACAACAATTTGTGGATCACACAAAGAGTAGTTCCGTGCGGTATTTGAACCCGCTATACATTACATTGCGCTGCAGCCGGTTGCCTATCAACCGCGCCAGCCGTGCAGTAATTCATAATGATATCGACATTACAACTAAACATGATGTTTCCCAATTACAAACTTCTAAATAATAAGTATTGTGCCATCCTACATTAGACGATACACAATAAATTCTTTATCTTGATCGAATAACGACCATTATGACCCCACAGGTGCAATTCGAGGGGCCACTAAATAGGTATTTGATTTTAATCGCAAATTGTGTGTTATTTGAGAATCGCCCGAGGCCTTGTTTTATGCAATATTCATAAGGATAGTGAAAAGTTAGAGATGTTTTTTTTATATAGACTCTTTGTTACTTATACGTGTAGGAAGGACAAAACTATAGGTACTTTGCTACTGAGAACCAGGGATACAGGAAGAAATATCGGTTTCAGATACGATTATGAATAGGAATGCATTTATTCTCCAAAAAATCGTAGCGTGATGTTTTATGGCCTTTATTATTTCACAATAAATGGACTAACAAACGCAAAAAGAATTGTTTAGTTCCAACCAGTAGTTTCGGAGATTAGTGCGTTCTAACAAACATATTATAAAGCTGTAGAAGCTTCTATAATCCCTGGGCCGAGCTCACGACTCACGGTGCCTCATTGCGCTTACCCCGGAACCCCGGCATTATATTGATTATTTGTGTATAAACAAAAGTTCCTATAGTATGCTTTATTCTTTTTTTAATTGTTTTTATAATTTTTCTTTACTGGTATAGGATAACTTGAACGTTAATAATTAGGTTAAAATGGCAAAAATACATAAATAAAAAAATAACGACAAAAAATTCGAGACTGATATCGAATTTTCGAAACATTTCGTTAAAAAAAAATAACGTCATTAATTTAAATAACATGTAAATAAATTAATTTAAAACTTTTTAAAATTTAAAGAGGAATGTTTATAAATTAGTGCTGAGTGTCGATTGCGTTCCGAACCTAGATCGTCGATTTCGAAAGTTTCTCTATGGAGGTCAGACTGGGTCGAAAACTTTTTAGTTTTTATTAAAGCATTCTGCATTTAGTAAAGATGACCGGTTACAAGCGTGTAGTGTGATTCTTTTTTTAAATTTGACAAGAGATATTCTTTTATTTTTCGAATGTTATTTGTTTGAAATTCGATTGTTTTTCCATTTTTTTTATTGAGTCGTTGCTTTTCTATTTACAATTGCGTTTTTTTGATGTGATAATTTAGAATGTGTTGTGATATTGTTACATTTATTTTTAATTAAATTGTGTTTGTGTATTATGATCTATCAGAGTCTGCGATTATAAGACGTTGCCATGACAATTACAATCGATGGTGAGGCAAAAAGGTAAGATTAGGAATGTGATAAAATTCAAATTAATAAATACTAAATTATACGTATGTTCGAGTCCACTGCCATAATCGCCAAGCTTGGCATGGGAATTAAAGATCTTACTCCAGTTAATGCAGAATATCAGAGGGCATTGTTGTTCGGTCAGCTCATAAAATTCCCGGAGGAATATCAAACGTATTATGTGATGTTATAGAAATGTATCATCTATTCTCTTGTCCTCAGCAAGCAATTGTTATATTTTTTTAAATTTAATTAACAATCGTTATTTGTTCTCGTCCGTTTAATGATTATGACATGATATGCAAAGCGATTGTTTTGTTTACCTTCAGTTGTTGGTGTATGCGTGTACATAAATATGTAATGGGGGCATTTCAAATAACACTATGAATAGTATTGAAAAAATGACTGAAATATTTAAGAACCAAGCATTGCTATTGTGTATGTCGTGGTAGCCCGGAGGTTAAGGAGCCCGCTTCTCATGCATGAGGGTGTGGGTTCAAAACCTGGCAAGTACCAATGTAAGTTATATGTACTTTCTATGATTATTTAGACACCACTGACATACGGTGAAGGTAAACATCGTGAGGAAACCTGGACTTATGATTTCTAATTATAAGTTTGAAATCGCCGACCCGCATTGAGCAAGCGTGGTGATCAATGTTCTAACCTTCTCCGTATGAGAAGAGGCCTTTGCTCAGTAGTGGGCACTTATAGGCTGATGATTGCTATTGTCAATTAATTATCACAATACAGTTAAGTGCGTGGTTCTCTTAATCGCCATGCTTGATCAGATGCATGAAGATTATCAGTGCTGTACTATTCCTATGTCAAACTAGACTACATGGGCGCCAGGATGCGGAGTGGCGTTTTTGGCCGCGCATGCTATAAGCAACGAATGATATGCCCATCCACGTATCGTTATCTCATGTCACGAAAAAATGTTGACGCCTATGGGATGCTTGCCTAGGGCGCTCATCGTGCTGAATGGTGGTAGCTAAAGAAGTATGTGGTTCAAGTATGTCAGGATAGTAAAGTTCGCCTGATGAAGAAGTCATTGGTGTATTGCATTTGGTCTTCAAAAAAAAACCATTTATGTCTGGTCTAAAAAGCGACTAAAATAAAGTCAAAGGTCAAAAATCATTTATTTTAATTACTTAGACCCTGACAGGCACTTTTGAACGTCAAACAAAATTTAAAGATATAAAGTGTCAGTCTCAATATGTCGGGCAGTCCTCTAGTGAAGCTCGTTCCAAAGTGTAGATTCCAATGAAGAAGCAAGCGAACGAGCAAGAAACTCAAAAAAATATTAACAGACAAACGATTGGGTTTATAAAACTGTTCTCTTTTCTCCAAAACTCCCCAGAAAAAATATATTTTCCACTTTAACTGATTTTAAATTATCTTTCGCAGTGCCAACACGGCGATGGACAATGACGTGACGCCGGTATATCTGGCGGCACAAGAAGGACATCTGGCTGTTCTTAAATATCTGGTGCTGGAAGCTGGAGGGCGTCTGGATGCGAGGGCGAGGGATGGCATGCTGCCCATCCATGCAGCTGCCCAGACCGGCTGCTTGGATTGCGTGAAATGGATGGTGAGTATTCTGATATATTTGTCTACTGTCATTTTTTGCTATATGTAGAGTAAAGGAGATCTCCTTGGATAAAATCTCTACTTTTGGGACGATAACTCTCTAGAGAGTGCCATTTCTGTAGAAAATTTTACCCATACGACTAACATAATTTTAAATACAGTTCCACTTTTTTTCAAGAACTGAAAATGGTTTGCTTTTGTGGGTACTTATTATTTGGCTTGTTGAATTAATTTTTTTCAAAGTCAACGTAAAATCATGTATTCTAAATATACCATAAATAGGTACATTTGGAACGTCAAAACAGAACAGTTAGCCTGTCAGTCTATTTGTGAAACTAGGTTTTTGTATTTTCTGTTTTTGTAGACGATATTTTATTTGATATTATTACAATGTGGATCACAACGAAACTGTTGCATCTAGTCCCATTGCGTCAAGCACACAAACTTCGTTCTGCTTAAAAAAAAGCGACATCTGTGTTATGATATGTCGTATATCTACAATTCGCTAGTTTCCAACTAGTCAAATTCAATACTTTTATCCAAATGTCAAAAACAAAACTTTTCTATGAATAACTGAGTTATGACGTCATGGTTTTTTTGCGTCAAATAGCTTACAACCGGTATTTGAATATTTTGATATTTGAATAAAAAATATCAAATACCTATTTTTTATGAAGTAATTCATAAAAATTAGGTAAAAAATATCTAAATTTCAATGTACCGATTGATTGATGAATAGAAGCACCTATAGTTATTTTTCAATACTTTATTGTATTGAAACGTCGAATTAATTTTTTTTTGACCTAGGAAACTACCCAGTTATATAATATAATAGCCAATGGTCCATATAGTATTGTGCAAACATAATAGCCAACCGGCAGTCACGCAGTACATTAAACTGCATCCGACGATTTATCTCAGGAATTCCTCCTTTCTGATTAACAGTGACAAATGTATCGGAAATGTAATCACCACTACTTGTTTATTTATTTTATACTGGACCGTGTGTCTACTTCATGATTTCACTTCGAGTAGTTAGTTTTTATTCACTGTCAGCGCCATCTATGCAAGTGGCGTGAGACTTCGTTGACGGATTTATTGACTCCGGAGATCAACGTTTTTGCCGTATTATGGTAGCTTAGCTTGCAACCATGTTTTATGTTATAATGTGGCATTTTAGTTAAAACCGTCCGGTGATATGTATGACATGTGAAATTAGTTTAGTTTTTTTCGCCAATTAAGTAAGTACTGGATACGCATAATGGTCGAAATTTTCAAAAAACTAAATTATATACGAAAGTATAACATAATTTTAAATCTAACTATAGGTTAATAATATAAGAGCTGAAAGGTTTGCATAATCCTTTTCTATATATATTATCAATGGGTTAATTATTTGAAGGGCTGAAAGGGTTGCATAATCCTTTTCTATAAATATCTGGCGTGATATTTTCACGGACTTATACAACATAAAAGAAATATTTCCATTAGAACCAGTAAGTAGTTCATAAGATTATCGTTTAAATAAACAAACAAACCCTCTAGATTTATTTATTGAGTATAGATTTCATATTACAACTAATTAATTACAAGATGCATATTTTAACACTATCCTTAATATATTTTTCGAAGAACATTCTAGATTCAGTGTTGCCTTCATTGACTAAGTCTATCGCTAAGTTTTAAACTTATAATCTTGATGAGAGCGATAGTGTTTTGTAGATGCATATTAAGGTTGTGCAAGCTTTGAAATTGCTTATAGAGCTAGATTTTGCAATATCTACAAAGAAAAAAATATTAGCAGAAGGCTCACTAGATACCTTATTGGAATTGGTTTGGTTGGAAGTTGTACTACGTTGTAAATTTTGAGTTGTCGTGGTCAAAGATGTTGGATGATTTTCTGTTTCGAGCAAGCGTGGTGATTAATGTTCAAATATTGATATGAAAAAAAGGCCTTTGCTCTGCAGTGGATACTAACAGGCTAATGATTTTGTGATCTTCATATACCTTTATTAGGATCTGGTCCTTTGTTTGTTTAGTTTGGTTCTTTGTTTAAATAGATAATTTAAGTTGTAATGAAGATTTTTTAAGCAATCAGCGCCGCCCATGGACACCCGCAACGCAGGAGTTACGAGTGCGTTGCCGACGTTGTAGGGATTAGGGATTTGGAGATTTAGGGATTGAGGAGGAGAGAAAAGATTGGGCCTCCGGTAACCTCACTCACACCGCTGTGGTTGTTTTACGCCGGTTTTCTGTGAGGTCGTGGTATCACTCCGGTCGAGCCGACCCATTCGTGCTGAAGCATGGCTCTCTCAAACTTTGATTTGAACAACTCGCATTTTGTTCAAGCACTAGTCTTTTGTTAACAGTGCTAGTTTTTACTCTTACATCTTACTAATATACAGGTTTTTTTTTAGACCTACCCGTAACACAACTCCGTTAGAAAACTATAATGAATATAAAATGCTGAATAATTTCACCCAAGTTGTCGGTTAGGTAGCTAGAACATTCTGACTCAACAATAATGGGTACTTTTTTTCATAGAAATATAAATGAAACTGTAACTGGGCATTATGCTCTTTTTTGTGCAACAAAATGTGTTTTGGTAATATTTCTGGAAATTGGACTAGGTCGGGCTAAGAAAAACTGTTACACATAACAATATGCTTACTTAGTATTGTCATAAAAAGTTACCGTTTACTTGCTTCTCTTACGGAACCCTGATCTAACAAACTCTACAGTATTTACAGCTTAAGTATCGCAGTTACTGTGTTGCGGTGAAAACTAATGCCATATCATTCGATTTTAATGCGCTTGCGCATGATAGCTCTGACCAATGAAATATTGCGGCTTTTAAGTAAAAATTTTAAGTGTTTAGAAAACGTTGATCATGTTTAGAATAGCTATTTTATTGAAATGAATATTATAATTAAAACTTGTCAATAAAAGATATTGAGTGAAATTAATATTACGAATCATATTTATTTGATAGCTCCGTTTTTATAGGTGTTTTTATGTGATAGGTTTCTCAAATGAGCTGACGGATTACCTGATGGTAAGCAATCAACGCCGCCTGTGGCCACCGGGAATATCAGAGCAGTTATGACTGCATTGCCGTCCTTTTGAGGTTTCGGAGATTTAAGGATTGGGGAGAAATTGGGTGAGGGGGAGGTTTGGACCTCTGATAACCTAACTCATATCTCACATGACACTCGCTCTGATTGTTTCACGCCGGTTCTTGTGAGTTCGTAGTATGAATTCAGTTAAACAGCATCGTTTCGTCATTCGTACCGAAGCATGGCTCTCACACACTTTCCACACACACGGGGTACTACTGGTTTGCAATATTGTTATGAGCCTGATTCTCACACGTAAAATAATCTTTACTGCATGATCATCCTTCAAATGACGGATGCAAGTCGAGAGATTATTTCTCTATTCGGTAAAACAGACAAAATAAGTGTCAAAAGATTTTCCTCCTGTTAATATAGTACCTGTGGCTGCTGTGCAACGTGTTACGGGTTCGATTCTCGCACGAAGCAACAATTTCTGTTTACCGCATATTGTTGTGCCGTGTCTGGGTGTGATGTGTATGTCAATTTGTATGTTTGCAAACGCACACACACGTCACATGGCTTTTATTTAACAAAAAAACCATAATGATTATTTTTCTTTCTCAGATTGTGGAGCGTGGCGTAGACCCCAACGCGAGAGACGGAGATGGTGCCACTCCTCTACATTTCGCAGCTTCAAGGGGTCATCTGAGCACAGTACGCTGGCTGCTCAGACATGGTGCAAGGTTGCACCTGGACAGGCACGGCAAGAGTCCCATTAATGATGCAGCTGAAAACCATCACTTGGAGGTAGGTTTTGGAAACGATGATGCATGATTGGAAATGGTGATGCTGAGAAAGAATTTCTCGGTTGGAAGTCTTGGAATCGATTTCGATATATGTATCTTGCGCTAGCTATTTTGTTGCAAAAAGTTTTTTTTAATGTAGGAATTGCATCCCTATAACACGTATTAAGAACGTCACTTTACTTTTCGTCGTTTAGTAGGTAATCGTATGTTGTTAAGTTATCATTAGTTCATCCTATTAAAATTTTTACTGTAATATAACAATTAAATTATAGTTTAAACACAACCTTAAATAAAGCTAAAGCCTTCTTGATTTTAAAAACATTTGTTCAAGGCCTAGAAAAACTCTTTCTTAGTCATTGCACCATACAGTAGCAACCTTGTATGGTATAGAAAGTGCCTTGTATCCACATCAAGTCATTACAGATACAATTAACTGAACAACAACAGCGTCGCATTAATTACCCCTTTGTTTGAGTTTTCTATCGTTTTTATGAGTTTTCATCTATTCAATAACGTAGGCTGAATCGTTGGACTATAGTTCTTTGGCGGTCATTGGAGTCCTGGTTTCGATAACTGAGGCTCCTATTTCCAACAATTATAAAGAAATATTATGAAGGCTGTGGTAAAGACTTACGCATATTATACTAGCTATTATATGATTGTTTTTTTTTTCATCCATTATCGCATACTATAATAAATTCTTTGTTTGTGTTAAAAGGATGTTATGTTATTATCTATGGATGGAAAGATAATCTTAAAGTCTTACACCCGGTTTCAGAAAGGCCGATCAATGTTAAAATCAATTTAATCTCTTGTCAAGTCATCTGATTGGTTGTTGATAATTCAGTCAACCAATCAGATGACTTGACAAGAGATTTAACAGGATATGAGTTAATTTTAGCGTTCACAAGCCTTTCAGAAACCGGGTGTTACTCAAGTGTACACATCAATTCCTAGTAGCCATATATCCATTGTCCACTTTCTACATGTCGGTAGCGTACAACAAGTAAAGCTCACGTTTTGAAAGTATCATTCTTTACTGGTCACACGTCGTTGCACAGTTTTCGGCGTGTGCGCAATTAATGCGTGGTTCTAAACACCGGTCAAGTCGATGAAAGTAAAACTGAGTACGTTGATATGAATCTGTGCATGCTTTTAGCTATTTTTCTTTTGGCTATTTTGGGTGTGTTTTGTAATCTCTGGATTTGTTTTTGCATTTCATTAAAACTTGTGTAATGAATTAGATCATGTCCTTTTTTCATTATTAAATTAATTAAAATTAAACTCGGTAAGAATTTTCACACGACATTTAAGTCAACAAAATTTATAAAAAACATGCTATTTTTAGTAACATTTCTTTATCATTATATCAAAATAGACTCAGGTACAAGACCCCCTCAAATTGACGACGAAATTGCAGGAAAAATATAATAAATTTATAACACACACCGTAAAACATTAAAAGCGACTTACATAACATTAATATTCAACAATTTAATGCATATTATCTATTCAATTATATTACGAAAAATCGATTTTGATTAAAAATTGCCAGTAACCGATTTACAGCTTCATACATTCGTCTGTGTCTTAAGATAGGAGCTAGGAAATTGATTATTTATGCTAAATCGATTGTGGGATATGCTCTCACTTTCTTGAACATGCAATTTACATTTAAATTAATATAGACAGAATAATTTTAACACAAAAATTCTATGCCTAATGCTGTAATAGGCCTTATACAATGACTATTATAAATATGCCATATAATTATATATTCATACTGTTTTATGAATAGATTTTTAGGCCATTTTTATATGAATCCTATCTAACGTATATACATAACATGTAAATAACGTCCTTATGTATACTTCGGATTTATATGACTAAACTAAATATATATATATATATATATATATATATATATTATATATATAGTCTTTTTTGGTTAACGTTTAATTAAAATAATATTAAACTTATGAAAAGTCACCACCGACACACGGTGAAGGAAAACATAGTAATGCGATTTAGACTTATAGCTTTCAAGACGTGGTAAGCTACTATGATATCTTCTCCGTCTGAGAGGCCTTTACCCAGCAGTAGGCATTTATAGGCAACTGATGATTCATAATTTTTTGAAAAACAATATTGTCATTTCATGGGTCACTGCAGTTAACCTTAAGCGACCTCTGACGGCAAACATATGAAACAATGGCACATGTCACTTCCTGTTACGTTTTACTCGTCACGCCGAGGTCAGTGCCATATCGTTAGACAATGGAAATATTGTGCGAATTCGTTTTATCAACCGAAATTTTCAGATCAGGGTCTTGCATTAGCATTGCGGAAGTTTCCGAGTAAATAGTTTTTTTTATGATATAAGTCGGCAAACGAGCAGACGGATTACCTGATGGTAAGCAATCAGTGCCGCCCGTGGACACCCACAATACCAAAGGAGTTACGAGTGCGTCGCCGGCCTTTTAGAGAAGAGATATCTAAGGGTTACATATATTGGGAAGGGATGTGGAGAGGAGGCTTTGTTTTTGCGGGGAAAAGTCATCAAATAACTTCTCCAGCCCTAGGTTTTTTTTTTTCGTGAGGGGAAAATCATCAAATGACTTCTCCCGCCCAGGGCCGGGCAGGAGGGAGTGTCAGACTCTTACTGACTAAAAACCCCCCTGTTCCTTCTCCTGCTCTGTGCCGAGGTCGCGGTACCTCATTGCGCTTACCCCGCAACCCCGGCCTCCAGCCCTAGGTGGGGCGAGAGAAAGTGTCAGACTCTTACTGACTAAAGAACCTGTTCATTCCTGCTCCTGGCTCGAGACCGCGGTACGTTATTGGGCTTGTACTAAGGAGGCTGCAGGCTTTTGTTTTGTTAATGCAAGAAATATAACCAAGCATGAATGCCTTGCCTCCAATATCGATTGAAGCATATATTATATTGATTGATATATCGATTTTAAATCGCCTTTTTATTATATCACATGGCTATTTATTAAGTTTTTGTAACATGACTTCTATTTATAATGAGTAAGATTTAAAATTAAATACCTCTCCATTAATTTGAAAAATCAAGTTGTGATGTTATGGTATGTTTTCTAATCAATTATACATACATATGTATGTTATATTAAATTACGTTTTCACCCAAAGGTAGAGGTGTATTTGGGTTTATGATAATTAATAAAAGTTACTTAATTTACATAATAAACACATAACGAGCCTATTTTTAAACGTTGAACTTTTTAAGTTACGTAATTCTCATACTATCAGTCTACATCAATTAATGATTTAGAAGTGTATATGTAAAATAGTTTGTGATATATGGTTGTGACAATTAAGAAAATTCTGAGCTATTGGCTGCGGTACTATGTGTCGCAGGTTTGATTCCCGCACAAAACAACTTTTTGTGTGATCCACAAATTGTTGTTCTGGGTCTGGACGTGATATGTAAGTTTGCAAACGCACCCACGACACAGGAGAAAATCCAAGCAACGTTTTTTTTAAAATAAATATGTATACGAATATTTTTTATCTCACACTATCTTTCCATTTTTTTGTATATTCAATTCATACAAATATTATATCCATTTTTATAAAATAAAAATGTGTTATTCCTCAGTGTCTGAACGTATTGGTGGCTGCGGGAGCAGCCGGGGCAGACAACAAACAGCTCTCCTCGTACAAGGCGATACACTCCTGCGCATGTGCCCCTGGAGAAGCGAGAGTAAGTACCTACACATTATTAAAAAAACACATATTTATACATATACTTATTTTACTTTGACTGGACTTGACTTTAAGATACTCGTAAAGTCGGCTATCGCACTTGGAATATTTACTAGCTGTTGCGTGTACTTAAGGCCGGAAAAAAGAGTAAAATACTAGACTGAACACTAGTTTATGTGATAAATAAAATTAATAACACGATGTTTGTTTCACCGTGTTTGTTTTATTCCGGTTCACTTTGAAAACGTGACCGTATCGTTGCTTGTCTTTCTAGTTGCTCGAAAGAACAGATTTTTTTTTTATGTAATAGGTCGGCAAACGAGCAGACGGATTACCTGATGGTAAGCAATCAGCGCCGCCCATGGACACCCGTAACGGAGGAGTGACGAGTGCGTTGCCGACCTTTTAGGGATTAGGGATTTGGAGATTTAGGAACTGGGGAGGGATCGGGGAAGGGGAAGGATTGGGCCTCCGGTAACCTCACTCACACGGCGAAACACAACACTGTGGGTGTTTCACGCCGGTTTTCTGTGAGGCCGTAGTATCACTCCGGTCGAGCCGACCCATTCGTGCCGAAGCATGGCTCTCCCACACTTAAATATATAGACGGATATTTAGACGAATTTAACAAAAATAAAGTTGTACTAACTTTGTTCTGTCTCAAGAGATATCTATCTTATCTTTTTTTGACGAAAGTGCTCTCCAACAGCTTATTTGAAATAAACCGAAAGGCTCTACTAAGAGCCTTTCGGTAAATAAGCCAACTTCAATATTTGTTTCAGTTTTCTATAAATGTTATACGAGACTGTGTCACATCAGTTTTTTGCGTCGAATAGCTCTTATTATACTAGTACTCAACTTACTAATTCTGAAAGCCAAACACCAAACTTGTATCTTAAGAAAAGAAAAGAAAATAACGCTCTAAAATTAATTTCCGAAAGTGTGTGTTCAAAAAAGTTTTTTTCTAAATAGTCAAAAACAGTTTAGTTTTTTTTTACGAAATGTCTCCGACTATTGTAAAATAAAAGGAATATTTCGTAATTTGCCTCCAAAATGGCCAGTTGCTAATAACACTGTACAGCGTCGATAATAATCACCATTTCGCGAAAATCTCCAGCTAAGTGCTAAGCCAACACTCTTGTATTTATTTCTACGAGTGAAGTTTTTCAATTACATAATACATTGCGTTTACCAATGATTACTGAACATTAGATTTCTTTGAAACTATTACAATTTTATCTTATTTATTCCATTATACAATAGATATTGTACATTCTCTATAATGTTAATTATTTTCGCAATCAATAAAAGCAAGAAAGAACGATCAAGATTTAATTTTGTTTTGTCTAACTTCTCTATGATTTTGTAATTACTTAAATGTTAGATACTGTCTATTATTAATATAAAGGAAGATAATACTTTTATTTAGCCGTTGATTCTTAATAAATATCTATGGCAATTAAGGAAATAACATAATGTTTTTCTTGGTACCATGGTATATAAACTTTTAAGTCTAATAATCAACAGTTACATCAGTCTAGTATACAATATTGTTGTGATGATTTACACACATACAAGAGACATTTTAACTTTCATCATCAATTTGTTATCATTTAACAAATTCTCACATAGAAAACAATGAAACAACCCCGAGCCTGATGTCTCTTGTTGGTAGAACATGTGTACGGGTTATTTTAGGCTAGCCTTCCGACAATAGACAGACAAATTTCAACTCCATTTCACCGTATTTGCAACTAGCTTCCACCAGATTATATGTTAATCCGGAGTATCACACAAATTTCAACCAAATCGGTTGATCCGTTTTTGCGTGAACGAATAACAAACATACATACTTACATTCTCACAAAATTTCTCATTTATAATATTAGTAGGAAGTAGGATTAATAATATTTTTTTCAAATTCCAGTGCGCCTTACCGAACTGCGTCAACATGAATGGTACTCGCTCTCCCTTCTACCTGCACGCTCCGGAGCGGGAGCGACGAAGCTCTGTGCAGGAGCGACGTGGCTCCTTACCTTCCACTGTCGGGTCCGTCACTTCAGCTCGCTCGGGACCTGCTGATGGCTTGTATGTCAACCCGATGCAGAGAGCCACGTCAACCAGTGTCACGCATCACAGCTCTTCGGGAGAGGAGAGTTCAGGTAAATAATGCTTGAAGGTCATATTATGGGGTATGTTAGATTGAGCAGTCTAGTTGTTTAAGTTGGAGCAGGCTAATCGAACAGATGAACGTCATAGACGTGTCGACGGCCTAAACGTTAATCAAACTCACAATAGGTACACTTCTTTTAGTTAGTAAACATTTTAAAATTCATTTAGTAGACGTATTTACACGAGCAAATCAAAGTTCTTAAAAGACTGTCGTCACGAGTTGTATGAAACAATAGTGCACTTTATGAAAGCGATGTATGTGAGTGTTTACTGATTATATTTTAATTTAGCAGTAACATCAAAACTATAATAGTTATATCTACATAATTTTATTTTGTTAATGCGTTCAGAAAACTATCACACACAACAGGAACACAACACAAGGAAAGTAACAGTTGTTACAAATACATATCATTCTAATTTACATAAACATGTTGTAAAGCTAAGCGTAACCTTATTGAAACTAGTTCTATAAAAAGTAAAAACAAGCAAATAGAAATCCATATACTCAAACAACTCCCATATTGAGTTATCGACCACAGTGTATAAGAAATCGACTATAAATTACGAATTTCTCATAATAAAATTGGTGTATTAGACCACTTTTGCTTTCCAATGCTGTTAGGGTCATTTCACATTGCGGCGTGATTTGACGCGCGGTTTTAAATAAGACGGGTATCATTCATTTTTCGCAGAATATTAAATAAGAATGTTTAGTTATTAATACATTTATAATTTCTTTGATTTATTCATTTTTTTCATTAATGTAATATCATGTATATTACAAACAATAAATCGATTTCATACAACTTAATTTATTTATATAATAACAATGTTTAGTAATCTGAAAGCTAAAATTAAACGGGCGTTATATTATTATATGCATCCTCAAGTAAAAAGTAAATAAACATAATATCTACACAAGCGTCTCGATGTGAGCGGACCCTAAGAGATTAACATCGAGAGGAAAGTAAGAGTGCGGCCCGGAGGTCTTATTACGTAGCAAGGTCGACAGCAGACCGTTAGGTTAAGACTGCACTCCATTACGGCACGCGGCAAGCTGACATTTGAGAAATGTTATACAATAATTTTGTATGTTACGGGGATTATGAATAGAGGGCAGTGTTGCAGTTGAGAAGTATTGTTGTGATAATGAAAAGTGTAAGGCAGATTGACTATTTAAAAACCAAAATTAATGAGAATGTTTTACAAGTAAATAATACGTTGATAAAAAATTTATTTAAAATATCTAAATTCTGTAAGACATCCATACAACACACTAACAATTCACCTGCATATAGTTTACTTAATTATTGACAATCAAATTCAAAGAGATTTTACAATTTAAATTCGTTTTGTTACGTTCAATTTCAATCACGCGATATTACCCGCGCGACTCAACCGATCACGCGTTTTTTTCTCGCCTCTTGAGCCGCGGCAATGAACTATCAGGTTTATTCTAACGTAACATATAGTACAGTTATTTGAAATGTAACCGGTTTATAGTTGATTATGACAAGATGAGATTGAGGACAGGTTGTGATGATCATGATAGTCGTGATCGATATAAGGCATAGCGTACATAGCGATCTGAACTGACCGGTTTATGAATGATTGCCATTTCATTCACAGTGCAATAAACTGTTAGCTGTAAATCCGGTATTATTTCGTAATATTAATTGGTATGTATGTATTGATCGAGTGTTAATAAGAAAGACGAGCATGAGGTCTATAAGTCTGTCTCTAGGTCAGTAATACTTATTCTTGATTCTTAGTGATATCACAAAGGCTTTCAGATTTTGGATTAGAAACGCTAATTTATCATGGATTCATTCAATAATTTCTAGTGCTGTGTAAAATTGTAAGGTATATTCACTTAACAAAATCCTGTTTGTGACTACTTTCTAAATTGGATAGGTTGAACTAATAATTATTTCAAGGAGGCTAATTTTAAACTTAACAGGTGTTAATATACAACATTCGCTTCTGGATCCAAATTATACTATTTTACATCTTCGGAAAAACACACGATGTTGTTTCTGCTCGTTGAAAGAAAGTGTTAAAATGAATGTAACTAGTAATTCCGAGAATTCCCCTAATAGTTACTTCATACGCTGTAATCATAAATATCCATACGCAATCAAGTAGGTTGGCTGAGTATCATCTAATCTGATTACTGAAGCAAAGTATTAAGTTAAGTTTGATATCTGGCTACCAATTAATTATTAATATAATTGCTAAAGCTAAATTTTTAAGTGGACCTCATGTAGTAACAAAGTAACTTCAAATAAAAAATCTAACAATAAAGTCTTTGGTACTGATGAAAAGTGAATTCACGGATGGTGCGGTGGCTGTGCAACTGGCTGCTGCGCAATATGTCGCGGGTTCGATTCCTGCACGGAACAACTGTTTGTGTGATCCAAAAAATATTGTTCGAGGTCTGGGTGTTTTGTAAACGCACCCACGACACTGGAGAAAATGCTAGAGTGGAGCAATGTTTAAAAAAACATGATTGTAGAAGTAGCTAAAAAATTATCAATTCGTCATTTACCTAATTTCTAGAATATTCTGCTTACTATGAGTCAGTGTGACAGACATGTGTGACTACAAAGCCATAAACCATAGCGTTATCCAGGCAAATGCGTGAAAAATCGAGCATATCTAATTGAAATATGACGGAAGTGACTCGCTAGGAAGCGCACACGCAGCTTTAGGTAACCGTTGCACCCAATTGAGCAGTCGCTTTCCTGCCTCCGTCGTGAACGGACGTACCTCTCGCGTTCCGTGAAAAAATATTTGAATACTAGCAATGTGTTTTGCACATCACTTGTATTCTCTCTTTTATAATATTATTATGTCTGTGGAGATTTTTCATTAGTGCTGATTGGTCAAGATGGATGTAGCCAAAAGATCAGTGATACAAGATTGGCTGAATGATGTTGATACAGAATGCGGTGTGTTCAGTGAATAATTTCAAATTATGTAAAATATTATAATACTTTCATTTTAGGATATCCATGTTGAAGTGAATAGTCGATTTTAGGTAGAGTATTGTATATTTATATAAATATGTATTTTATAGTGCTCGCCTAAGTGATAGGTACTTACTTTATAGATAGATATTTTTTATTACCTAATATTCCAATTTTAAGCTGTTGAGTGAAGAGTGAAAATCAGTTCCGTATGTCTTACATTACTAAGCTTGAATCTCAAGAGCTCTGGCAAATTCTTCTGTCAAGTGCAAAGTTTCAGGGCTAGACATGTGTATCCACCTCACGATGTTTACCTTCACCGTTTGTCAGTGGTGTCTAAATAATCATAGAAAGTACATATCACTCGGAAAAAGTCACATTGGTACTTGCCAAGTTTCGAACCCACACCCTCATGCATGAGAAGCGGGTTCTTTAACCTCTGGGACACCACGATATAAAATTCTTTAATGTTGCTCAACTCTTTTAGATTTTAATACGAAACTGGTAAAAACCAAGCTAGTAGAAAGAAGGATTTAAGTGATAGTTTATTAGAAGTAAAAATAGGAAGCAGGAAAGGCTGTTGACCGCGCCCAAGTACCGGAAATGCGTTACGCGAATCGGACCATATCCTCGGTAGTTACAATCGGCAGTAATTAATGGGTGCTAATGAAAACTGATTAATGAATTAAGTTCATTATGGTACAGTTTTATAGCCGGCATTGATGTTAAAGCGCAATAGTATACCGTCATATGCCAGGATCAGGAATAGGAAGGGGGTTATTATAATTCAGTAAGAGCAAGTTGGTGATCACGCTCAAAAAAAAAATCGGTTTTCATGGATCAACATCAATGAATTGCCAAAGAAGGTGGTAAATTTAAACGTGGTAGGATGGAAATAAGTGGTGCTAGAAGATGAGCAGTGAAAATATGGATGAATCGTGTTTAATATTTAGGAAGAAAATATCTTTTGATAAGGACAGGACAAATTTAGATGGTTTAGTTATCTTGCATTTTTTTTGTTTAGAAGTAGTTTTCAGTTTGAAGGTAGCTTCGGCTCTTAATTCTTTGGCCTTAGTAGAGGACTAAATTTTAATTTTAATAACATTTTACGTTTACGTTACGTCTGGTTGGTCAATAAGAATTACTGGTATTTATGTCCTCAGTTGCCATTAAGAAAAAAATATATTTATATAAACTTTTGTACCGCCGGTACCAGTAATTCATCATGCGAATAACCTGGTAAATAGTAGGGGAGATCTGTTATAATAACCACGTTAATTTTACGTTAAAATAATAATTTTAGAATAATCAATTTAAATCAACAATAAAGTATGAACAGTTTCGAATAACAACAACAACCTCAGCAGTTTCATTATAGTTGATCGGATTCAATTGGAATTAGGTGTCCAAACTTCATAATACCTACGTAACAGACAATAATACTGTAATTTACACGAAAATGTTACACAAGGGAAGGTGTTAATCATTAATCGAAGTTAATTACTATTGAAGAATTTGTGTTTACATAATTTGTTTGTATCTATTGTTAGATTAGCTAATGAAGTAATAGTATTTCAATAATACGATCTGATTACTTACGGCAATTCGATTAGGATAGGATAAGGCTGGACGACTTCAAGACCTGATTCGTCGGATTACTACTAGGCAAGATAGTATCCAAACTAGCAGCCTTTTAAAAAAAATTTTTTTCATAGAATTTCACGTACCCTTTACACCCAGAGACACCACCTCTTACAAAGAGTTTTTCCGTGCAGGGATCGAACAAGTGAAACGCAGAAAAATTTTGTCAAGTTTTTACTGACTTATCCAAATCTTACTGTAAGGATAAGAATGTTACGTACTTGCAAAATGTATCGTATTCTTCTTCCATTAAAACTTTGTTAGCTATGAAAATGAATCAAAAACTCATATTTTGTTTCTCCCCCCAGCCTGTTCCGCATCAGACGCGGACAACACAGCTAGCGGTTGGTTCCTCCACAACAATAACAGCAGCTCTGGGGCTCCAGCAGCTCTCTACCAGCGGGTCAGGGACTTATTCCACACTCGATCCCCAGGGCCCAGGGTCCCTGCTGAAGGACAGGAGGCACCCGCAATGACTGGTAAGCCTACTACATGATATTTAAAGAAGTTTGTTTTTCTGTTGAAGGATGTTTAATTGGCATCGTCTTGAGTTTTATTCAATTGTAAATTAAATACTAATAGTATATTTTGGATAGTAAGGAATAGTTCTTAACGTGGTCTTTAAGAAGATTATGAATGATGTGAAGTATTTCTGCAGAAGTGCAGTGAAACATTTTAGCATATTTCAAGTGTTTTTAAAAACATGTATAAAGGGCGTAGAACTATCATTGCAAATTTTATATTACCATGTGAAATATGAAAAAAAAATAGTTTTTGGATCATCATCATCATCCGGATTTCGTCCACTGCTAGACATAGGCCTTACTAAAGGTACATATATGTATATACTGTATTGCCCGACCCAAATAAACTAACAAAACAATCCATAGTTAGAATGACATTATTCTCCAGGGTCGAGGCAGTCTGAAGAGCCGGATGATTCCATAATGACTGGTAAGGAGTCAGACTCACTGCTAGCCCATCTAGAACTGTCTAGACTCTTTGTTTCTTAGCTGTATTCTTGCTTGGCTCTGAAAAACTTTAATGTATATAATATATTGCGCCTTACAAATAAGTTTCAAAGCATTCTGAAGCCTGTGTTTCTTGAAAGACTTACTAGTGATCAATGCTCTGTACGCTTTATTTTCAAATACCTATGTAAATGACAGTTTCATTTATGAATTTAAACCACCAAAATCTAAAATATTTCTCATGTTCAACGTTTTAACGCTACTTAATTTTTATATTAGAAGTATCTACCGTATACCTACATGTTTTATGGAATAGGTGTGGACTGCAATAAGTGCCGCCCATGAACATTCGTAATACCAAAGGAGTTACTACAATAGCGCTGCCGACCTTTTGTGGGCTTATTAGGGATTTATTGTTAGGGGATTTTGGGTATTGAGGATGGAGATAGGGGAACGATAAATTAAATTAGTCTAAAGCGAAGTCTACAAACATATATGCCCGTCACATCATGTTGCGTCCTCTAATAATCTCCAATTTCTAACTGATGTTTACGAATGCAGTGAAAGCAGAAATCCATGGGTCTGCCGAAGCCACAACTGCTCAAGAGCAGTCAGACAGTGACAGTGGGGCTGAGGCCACCAGACGAGACCATCACTATGAGGATATCTACATGCCCAGAGAAGAACATCAAAGACGAAGGTCAGTTTATGTCTTAAATATTTAAAAAATAGGACAATTACTTGATCTGGTTTAACACTAGCCTATAAACTGCTTTTATTGATTAAAAATCCGTTTTGCATTTTCTAACTGCTTTGAAAAACAAATTAGCAGATTATATAAAACTACCTGATAGTGAATTATTTTTTTTTGTTTTATCTCTATTGGATCTCTATGGAGTTAGTTATGTAGTCTTAACTAAAGGCTGGACCACACTATGATATTATTTGCTTTCTGTTGGTATCGTAGCACATGATCAGTGTATGTAAAACGTCTTGGTTAAAAAATGATCAATTAATTTTTTATGACTATTCTTAAATGTTTCCTAGCCCCTCTAGGTTTCCCCTTTTTCTAATAATTTTGTTGCCTACAGGAGCAGTTCTCGCGACTCAGGCAGCCACAGCCGACCTGGCAGCGCCGCGCTCGTTGTAGACTACAACACCAAAGATAACACTGACACGTAAGAACAATTTAGAAATTTATATTCACTAAATTAACTCTTGTGCATATTCGTGAAGGTCTGTGTCCGCCCTCGGCTTTTCTTGAGACCAGTGGTTTTTAATCATAGACGAAATTGTCGACCAAAATAAATAATTATTGTTTGTTGTAGTCAAATTTATAGGTTTAGAGTCAAACAAGTAGAAAAAATTGGTCCGTTTAATATTTACTATTCTATTCGAGCGAGTGGAAATTAATGAGTAAGATGGATTTTCTTGTCAATGAAATGAACAGAAATATTTTACGAGTTACTGTAAATGAGCAGAACTTAAACTGCGAGCACATTACACCGAAATAGACCAAAATAATCATCAATAAGCTGAAAACAAATGAGGTTAGCTCGTTAAAGGTAAGATACTAATGAAAATAATTCTATTGAATGTTTAACGTGTTTTTTTTTTGCACAGTGCAAGCAAAGCTTACGAGGAAGTAGCGTCTCCAGTGTCCGAGGCGCAGACTAAGTCATCGATAGCCACCAAGTTGGCAGCACTCACGCATAAGGCACAGAACTTTGTAAGTATAGAAGTTGAATTTATAATATCAATGTCAATAGGAACTACCATTTTTTGTTCATCAGATGGCACTAGTGTTGATCTTACTTCTTTTCGCCCAATAGAGAAATTAGTTAATGTCATTAGATAAATAATCCCAGATTAAAGGGCAAATATAAGAGGCCCAGTCCTTCCCCTTTCCAATCCCTCCCCAGTTCCTAAATCTCCAAATCCCTAATCCCTAAAAGGTCGGCAACGCACTCGTAACTCATCCGTTGCGGGTGTCCATGGGCGGCTCTGATTGCTTACCATCAGGTAATCCGTCTGCTCGTTTGCCGACCTACTACATAAAAAAAAATAAAAAAAATAAACGTCTTGCAAGTGGCCAGGTAAAGAAATAGTAGAGCCCTCATTAAGGTCTTAAAAAACTAGAGCTTTTTTTTTAATAAGTTTTTTTGGTTTTGTTTTGGGCGAGCTCATAACAAGTCTTAGATTATGATAAGTAATATGCTAAACCCGTCGCTCGTTTTATAAAAGGGATCAGTCACAATTATCATCGACATGTCATTCACATGTGCACTTATAGAATCGAAACACCAAAGTACATTTACTCAAATTACTTTACCAGTTATAATTAATTTATGGAAGGAACCTCATCATTTATAAACCTATCCATTCAAAACATATGTTTGATAAGTTCATAAGAGCCGAGTTTTTAACACCCATCTTTTTTCAGGCAAGCCGCCTATCCTCGGCGGCAGGCAGTAGACGCGCGTCAGTATCGGACGAGGCGACAGTGGTACAAGCAGCCTCAGCTTCTTCAGGAGTGTCTTCTGGTGGAAGCTCAGGGGATGAGGCTCCTCCTCCACCTCCACCGCCACCGGCACCACCAGCCCCACCCCCACCTGTAGTATTGGAAGAACCTGCGCTAAAGCCTTCCGAGCTCAGGGGGAGATTAGGTAAGTGGTTTTTACTTACATAATATAATGAACTAGCTACTCCCGCGCGGTTTCACTCGCTGCTCGGTTCCATTTCATTGTAGCGTGATGTTTTATAGCCTATAGCACTCGGGATCATTGTAGCTATTAATAAGTGCAAGAATTTTGGGAATACAACCAGTAGTTCCAAAGATTACGCCCTACATACAAACTTACAAATTTTTCCTCTTTATAATATTAGTATAGATTGTAGTCCTAGAACCTATTACGGGTCGATATTTGATTCCGTGACCCATTTCAGTCATGTAACGTTAGTTTTGTATCATAATATGGTGTTCCTTTTCAGTTTTCAGGTTATTTATATTAGTATATTAAAAAAATATTAATTTTAAACTGTAAGTGTTTGTGATGATATGTGTCTACTCGGTTTTGTTGCTAGAAACACGTGTTGCGTATTTTATTTTTGAATTCTAAGCGTTATCTACAAGAGGTTGTTGAACTATATTTTATTTCGCTCTGAAAGGGAATGTTGATGACCTAATCGACAGAAAATGATATAAAATACGCATAAAAAGTATAAAATAAAAAAATTAATTAGACCCCCGACAAAATAGAAATATGTAGTAGATAATAAAATGTTTGGATCGGTCCCCCAACGCCACGTTTTTTTTTAATTATTACTTTTAAAAACCCCCGACCAGAAATCTAATATTCTAAAGGAATATTTTTAAATTTTAAATTTGTATTAAACAGTTTCTCTACTATCACATGTTGACCAATTGGTTCATAACTTTCATGTAGCGATTGCCTTTACTTGAAATTCCATTTTAATATACATACTCGATTGCATATTATAAGAACTGCAAATGAAAACCAACTGTAGGGACGAAACAATCCCTAATTTAAAAAAAATATCGGCCATATAAGACATCGTTGTAGGTACTTCTGGTGATCTTAAATGCGAAGATAAGTAGCTGATATCACGCTTTTAACACCTAATGTCAGTCCTATACAATTTGATTATTAGATAAGTGATCATAAATAACCAAGAAAATATAGTCGTTATACAGCTTTTAAAATTTGTATTATGTAAATGTGGCAGAGTCAGGCTTTGGCATAACTGGGCGGCTTCACAGAAAACTAGTTTTGGCCTTCGAACCACAAATTCCCAATGTCCAAATTCCCAACAACCTTTTGTAGGTTATTAGACAAGACAACGCACTTGTAACTCCATTGTTGTTGCAGGTGTCCATTGTCACCGCAGATCGCTTACCATCAGGTGATCCGTCTGTTCGTTAACCTTAGCATTACAAAACTTATGTTAACAAGTAATATAAAAGAAAGTAAACGTGAAATAAGTACAGTAACTTCACAGCAGATTAGGTGTCTAATTTACCCAAACTAAACATAATTTAACAACAAAAAACCAACCATTCCCTTTCAATCCGAATCTAGCGTAAAAATCACGCAAAACACATTATTTTTTTTACATAAAACCTCATTGTAATACCTAATTGTGTTCTTAATTAGAAAATTTGACAACGCCTATTAATATTTAAAAGAAAGAAATTAGCTAAAAGTAAGATTTAATGAAATGCGTTTACTTTCTACGGACATGGGCAGTTAGTAACGTTCTGATTCTAAAGTTGAAACAATAAAAATAAATACAACTTGAATTTAAGACCCGCAGTGTACTTTCCATTTTAAATGAACTGCTTGTTCGCGGATTAAATGTTGACTTTGGATTTTTCCTAAATTACACGTGTTCTGTGAGAGGCTTTTTCGAAATGAGTCACGCATCGATGGTCTTATGGTCTTAATTGACGAAAGGATTGCCAAACACTTTGATCGTAGATCGATAGTGCGTTGCGAATACGTGACTGCACGGTTAGTTCATTTACTAAGCAATCGACTGTTGTGCCTCGACCCACGGCTTCTATTCCTGCGTGAAACAATTCTTTGAAATTTGTGCTTATAAAATAGTGGAGGCCCAATCCTTCCCCTTCCCCAATCCCTCCTCAATCCCTAAATCTCCAAATCCCTAATCCCTAAAAGGTCGGCAACGCACTCGTAAGTCCTCCGTTGCGAGTGTCCATGGGCGGCGCTGATTGCTTACCATCAGGTAATCCGTCTGCTCGTTTGCCGAGTTATTACATAAAAAAAAAAGAGAAAATATCCAAGCTAGACCCAAAATCTTATAGAAACAATTTTTTTTTTAGCTTTTTCGAGACCTACTTTTAACTCGGATGGGATCAGCTCAAAATCATTACTCGATTAATTAAAAATCATCATCTATCCAGCTTAACAATGCTGACTATTAGATAATACGAAATATATAATTTAAATCGTTCCCACACGTTCTTTAAAGCAAGCAAAACATACAAGCATTGTGATCCACGCTGCATAAAACTGTATACAGTGCAATACTCAGTTTTATACGTTGAAAGTGGTTGAAAACCATTAATTACACGCGAAAGCTAAACCGGCCTATTAAGTCTAGACTAGTATCTACTTCAAGCTAGAATTAACTGCAACTCTACTGAGCTTCTGAAGTTAATAACCTTTATAGTTTATGTAGGTCATTAGTAGGTGCGATGGTGATATTGATCACAGACTGACTTGACTGCACAGTTGGCGTGGTGGCTGGTGTGCAACTTTTCGAGGGATCAATTCTCGGACGTAACAACTCTTTGTGTGATCCACAAATTGTTGTCTGTCCAGGTCTGAGTGTGATGTGTACGTGAAATTATATGTTTGTAAACGCAACCACAAAATAGGGGAAATCCTAGTGTGCTTTAAGTCGTGTTAAATCTTTAGTATGGACTACTAGCACAGTACCGGTCTATCTATTCCTATTTTTTTCCCTATTTAATTATTTATCTCATTATTTTACACTATTAGTTTATTTGTGTATAATAATAATTAACGTGTATTGTTTTAAATTAATTACTACATTTAACGAGATAACTCTACCGATTTCAAGCCATGGTAGGGGCGCACATCGTAGCGCAACGCATGATACATGACGCGACGAAGTGTCAACAGCGATTGTCTATCATACATTTTAAGGAATATAAATATTGATGTCTCTAGTTTCGTATAATTAGCTAAATTGAAAATATTTGCATCAACGGTCGTTAGTTCGACTACCGAACAAAGGTTCCGGTTTCGGGCTTTTACAATTTGTTGAAAATTCTCAGCAAATGAGCATAAGGGCCAAAATAGGGGCCCTATTGTAGTACATGGTATATGACCACCCCCTAAAAATGGACACAGTAAATCGAATGCAAATTTTTACTTAGGTATATAGGTCTAACCAGTAATAAATACAGACCTAAATATGGTTGGAAAAGGCTAAGAAAAAGATGACTTGCATGAATGCGCGGTAGATAATTATAAAATTAAATTTTCTAATCAATTATGTATGGGTTTGATGTCTGGGTAAGATTCGATACAGTTTTCACAGTTAGCTAGATTAAAGAGCATTTTGGGCTAGATTCTTTTATAATTCTAGATTTTTTTCTTATGAAAAGTGAATTATATATTGAATACTAGCTTCCGGCCGCGACTTCGCCCGCATGGTATGTTGATAAAAAATAGTTTATAAATGTCCTATTCCGGAATGTATCCCATGCCTGCACCAAATTTCATCCAGATCCGTCCAGCCGTTTTGGCGTAACATCTGTTTAATGCCAGAAGTTTGATATTCGTTTGCTAATAATTTTTAATGAAACAACGTGTGATTTGTATGCCGGTTTATTTGCAACTGGGGAGTGGGGTTCATAGTGGACTGTATTCACAAGTATAGATAGCTATTACTACTCAATCGTTCATTTATAACATTCAATGCTAATCTATTAAGACAATTTAGACACATCCAAATATCGTAACTTTGGTATTCATAATATTAGTAAGATGTGCACTTGTACGTTTTTTTCTGCGTTTATTTAAATGTGCTTAGATCATAAAACTGCACTTTTACACGTCAAATTATTTGTTATATGTAAAAGAACTAGATGCAGCCGGACCATTAAACCAAATATTGCTTCAAACATTTTCATTAGCATTTTATTACAAATTTTCAGAAATAATTAGGAAAATTTTGCTAATATGCTTAGATAGAAGAACGCTTGAAATAAACTTGTAATATTATAATCGTATTCGCAAGAATGCTCATTATAAGTTATGCATAACCTTTTATCCTGTTTTCGAAGCGGTAAACTTTTTTTTTGCTTTTAATATCAGCCCCAACAAAAAGAAACATTTAAGTTATAGTGTAATGATGCATATTATTCTCGTTGTTCCATTTAAGCACTAGATAGAAAGTGTCCGTGAACAAGCGTGCACTTGACTTAGTTGCTTCAGTAAAAAACAGTTCTATTCAATTTTTATCGTGTAACAATACTAATATTCCTACTTACAAAGGAAATCTTTGGTAATTGCGACATACAATACATTAAATAATTTGTGTTGTACCTGTAAAGACAACATCATTTTTTTTATTTACTGACTGAAAACTCAGCAACTCCTTAAAATACCTATGGTTATAATGGTATGGGATCCCTAAACCAATCACACTGTACTAGTTTTTATATATGTATGGATCAATATACATATTTTTTTCATGCAATGTACCGGCAAACGAGCAGACGGATTACCTGATGGTAAGCAATCAGTGCCGCCTATGGACACCCCAACAGAGTTACGAGTGCGTTGTCGACCTTTTGGAGATTAGGAAATTGGAGATTTAGGGATTGAGGGGGGATTGGAGGAGGGGAAGGATTGACAATCCGGTAACCTCACTCACATAGCAAAACACAACGCTGTTATTGTTTCACACCGGTTTTGTGAGGTCGTGGTATCACTCCGGTCGAACCGACCCATACGTGTCGAAGCATGACTCTCTCCCACACTATAATTTCGCGGCGCGTCTATCAATGCAAAGTAAAAATATCCAACACTAATATATAAATAGACAACCGCCTAATCAAAAGCTGGACTTTTAGATATTGGATCGAAGAGGTATCTCTTATACCCAAGCCAATTATCCTTATTCCTTTGTTTGAACCTACAATCAGTTTCAAGATCGAGATCCAAGTAAGGAGCCGCACGATTCTCTTATTCAAAGATCCCTTGCAAGTCTAACTTTAATAGCCTTTAAAAGCAACAAATAAATAATGCATCTCCTCGCTACATTGTGTGTAATAAAACTAAAGATTCTGTCCTTCAAACTCGATAGATAAATATGTTCCATATTAATATAAGATTAGTCTCATTGCGTTTCCTACATTTGCTTTCATATTGATAAGATAGTACATAAACGCTAGTAAAAAAGCTATTTATGTATAAACAATATCTAATAAGGTTGACTATGGACTGATTTTACAATAGTCAGATAAATGTTATCTGATGAATAAAATTGTTGCTGTCACTGTCTTATACACACATTCTGATGCGACAGCATCAAAATTATTCCCCAGGTAACTTTTATCTAACCATTAAAACATCAGACCTAAATTAAAATTATTTTGTCTTTCAGTGTAGTGAAATTTAAAACAATAATCACACTTGCATTAATTGGCTATACAATAAACTGAATGATTGTATTTTTTTACAGTTTACTAGGTACAAATAGCATACCATTGACGTGTTGTCGCGACGAGACGACATATGTTTTGACATGCATATTGTGACAACGCAAAATTTCTTACAAAAACTTACTAATTTACAAAAACAATGAATTATTGCAGTTAAAAAAGATTGCAAAAAAAAAATGCTAACTGGTTATGGAATAAAAATCAATCTCAACAGATTCTGATATAATTATTGTGAAATTCCAATGCGTATCTCAATAACAAACAAGTTTCTAACAAATTATTGGAAACTACTGCCATCTTGCGACGAGTAGATGCATTATTGTGAAACAAAATTGTTGTAAATGATTACTGATAATTTTTGTAGTTACCAAAAATAATTATTATTATAAGGACTGGAACTCTGTTAGAACGTTCACATTTTTATGTAATTGGAACAAACTGATTAGATTTTATTCAATGTTTCAATGGTGATGTAGCCTTGCTATATCTTAATCTTTCTTCTCTTTTAAACCCAGAGTATTGAAATAAATTGCTAAATATAATTCACGGCCTTAACTAGATTCTACTGAATATCGATACATATGTTTTTTACATCGAATGACTATCACAAATGCACTGAGGTCAATGCCATAATTAATTTTTGCAATAAACACAGAAAACTAAGTGGTTATTAAGTTGACAGCTAAGTCATATAGTTAGTTTGCCGGTGAAACCGGCGCCGGCGCATTAATTAGTGAATCAAGGCAGTTTCAGCAAACAGAGTGAGACGGTTTCAGCTTCACACCTGAATATTTAATCGTCATTATGTTTACTGTTTTGTGAGATTGTATTGTGGCAAGTTTTCATGTGCTTTCTAAATGTCTGAAATGTTTTTATGAAGGGGTGCTTGTAAATGAATTGCAAATAACTAAACTTTATTGTAATTAAAAAAAGAATTAGAACACATATTGTATAGCTGAATTCTCCATCTATTCTTAATATAATAAAGCTGTAGAGTTTGCTTGTTTGAACACCCTAAACTCCGGAATTACTGGTTCGAATTGAACATTTTAACAATAATATATATAAAATAAAACATCATGCGACGGTCTTTAGTAACCGAGCAGCGAGTTTTTCGTATTAACTTAACCTACATTATTGTCAATTAAATGAAATAGGATCCTTGGAAGTTCTGCTGGTCATATATTTTGATTTGTTAGTCTATTTATCGAAGAAGGCTATAGGGCATCATGCTACGATAAGTTGCAGCCGAGCAGAGAGTTTTTTCTATTAACTTAACCTACAAGTATTATCAATAAATTGAAATAAAACCTCTTAGATACTCTGTTGGCCATATTTTTTGGATTTACATTGCTCAGAAGCACAAAATTTAATGTGATTTACGCATTAGTCTATTGTAAAAACCAATTTATCAACCACTGCACTATTATATTTTACTTAAAATCTAAGCAATATGTAGAAATTACCGAGCTGTAACTATTATTACCTTATGTAACAAAATATTGTCGTAAACGGTAATCGATCACGCGAGGCCCTATTGTAGACTTAAGTGGAAATCGATTACATTGTAACACCAATTTGATATTGTTACGAAAATCGCATTTAATTTTAAATAATTTTGATTTGACATATTATTCAAGTTCACAATTGAAAACTATTTTTCCGCTTACATTAAAAACTAGCCAGTGTTTATTTTTACTGGTTATGTTTAGTGAATGGATTATTTCTTCACGCAATGGTAATTGATACCCGAATTACAGTGTTGGTTCATGTATCCATATGTTAATTGGGACAAATTGCATGTCACTTAGTGTTTCGTCTATTTAAAATGGTATTTTGTAACGTCCAGAATAAGTTTCTTTAGAATATCGTATATTAAAATGTGTTAGACGGATTTGGAAATAGAATACATTACATATTCAGCAAACCCATTAGATTTAGCAATCATATCAGCGATGGCTGGGCAACCAGCTGCCGTGCAACGTGTCGCGGTTTCGATTCCCGCACGGTATACACCAATTTGTGTGATGTTTTTGTGAAACTATATGATTATAAATGCACCCACGACACTAGAGAGAATCCTAGAATGGGGCAATGTTTATAAAACCGATGTCATATTATTATTTTGTTACTGGATATATCTTCAAATGAATTAAAATAGTAAAACTTGTCGTGCATCATACTATTTTAGAACGTTCTCATTGGATCATCGTAAACTTTAGTAATTTACACTAACAAGATATCAATGTGCGAATAATTTGGCGAGGTAAATTGGGTGGCAATAAGAAAGTGGCTGTACATTTTATGATATGACTTTATTACTCTAAAGAATGCTTTGAAAAATAAACTGTAGGTATTAAAATTAATGGCCGTATTTGCATGAATGTGTGAATGTGAGGTAGTTGTTTCCTAATATAAATTAATACTGTTAGGGAAAAAATTATGCCATCAAAACTCTTAGCTCAACAAATGTAAAAAGAAAAATATCATTGTCGATCGCATTTTAGAAATTCATATGACGATCGATTCGAACGGCGGAGTGATAGGTGTTGAGAGTAGTGTTATAATGCGCAGTCGCACGTGAACTCACTGGAAAAATACTAGTCGACACATATCATAAACAGTACAGTGCAGACACATGTAGGTATTAGCATGGAACATACATACTTTATGTATAATACCTAGCTTATTAAAAGATGCTTAACGTACCTATTTATTTAAATAATATAGATGAACAATATTATTTTTAGATCTCTAAAACATTAATCAAACAAAACCAGTGATGCAAAGCATGTACAATCCGAATCACAATATAATAAATCTAGTCAACAGATCATAATAATTTATGTAAAATTAAGTCATCGTCCAAATATCGATTCAGTAAATCAAGCAGTTGCGCCGGCGATTGTACACGCAGCGCATCACTCGGGCGCGGGGTGCGTGCGCGCCGAAGCGCGGACTTTCTCTCCCCCCTAATAGCAGCCATCTTGAAATCTTACAGCGGGGCGACGCGGCTCGGCGGCGTCCGCAGACGACGACAGACCGCGCGGGCCCAACCTCGTCAACAAGCAAGCCGTGCTTCCCTTCGTGCCTCCCGCGTTCCCGCATAACGCGCCCGACCGCCTTATCAAACCGTCCGAGTATTTGAAAACAATCACGGCGCCGTGCAAGCGGGACGACAGCGCGGCGGAGGCGCGTCCTCCGCCGCCGCCACCGGTGCCAGCCGACAATGTGCCGCCACCACCACCGCAACCCCCAGTCACCGCGCACCAGCCCCTGGCAGCCATCAGCAGTGCTGAGCTTTCAGCAGTCCGACTGCGAACACCGGCCACTAAGACGTTATCAGCCCCACCTCCTGCACGATCAGTCAGCTTACAATGCTTACCCAGTGCTGCGGAAATTTACAAAAACGCGAAAACGGATTTGATAGAGGAACTGAAGATGTCCAAGGACATAACGGGGATCAAGAAGCTGAAAGTGGAACGTGCGCGCCGGGAAAGCCTCCAGGATAAGGAGACGTTCACGGAGTTCACCAAGAGGTTCACCGCTGAAAACTTTGTGGAACAGGTCAGTGACCTTCATTGTTTACTAACTACGATAACATCTAAATATGCACAAGAGTGGATTTACTTTCAGTTATCTAAACTTGAGGAAAATGTTGCCGAAATATCTAGAGCTATTCGATTTCAGATTAAAAATAGAGCACTTGTCGCTTGGATACCTATTGGTAGATAACTTATTATCTTTTACATAATCACGTGGACAGATTATTGAATAAGCTAGTTAAGTTACGCGTTGTAAGACTTTCCCAGACTATTGAAAACTGAAAGATTAGAAACTTGTTTTTAATTGGGTTGTAAATTAGAATGTAAGCAATCGTACATCAATGTGTCAACTATCCATCGCGCTGTACAAAGAAAGTCTAGTACGTTTCATGAAAGGATTTCGTTTTTAAGATTCAAAATAATGAAAAGTTATGTTTTGTTAGTGACTGCTTTTTCATTGTGAAACATGTAGGTTGTGGCCTATATTTTTGAAAAACGATACATGGTTTTACCACTCAGTTATGCTTCATGTCAAAATATATCGAAAATCTTGAAAACGGTGTAACTAACAATTTTTGAAAGCTATCTTCATTAGCCTACAAAATCAGTCAAACGATTCATAAAATAATTTTCGTTTTAAACCATAACTGAATACTAGGTTAAGAAAGGTTAGCAAAGTCTAGACTGTAATCAATTATTTATCTTATGCTAAGTAAATTGACCGGTTTTTATTTTCTCGGTCACTTAATCAGTCAGTCACTAGGGCACTTTTAGACTGATTATCTGTTTGACCGTGAAAAGATCAAATTAAGGGTCATTTTCAGGCTAAATAAGGATAAGAATTATATACTTAATTAGTTGTATTGGCCCGGAGATTAAAGCTAGTTTCTCATGCATAAGGATGCGAAGATTTCGAGACTTGGCAAGTGTAAATGTGACTTTTTCTGAGTTATATGTACTTTCAACGATTGTTTCGATACCTTTGACGTACGGTCAATGAAAACATCGTTAGGAACCGAGACATAAGTAATTACATATAAGTTTGACACTTGTTGAGCAAGCGTGGTGATTAATGCACAATCCTTTTCCGTGTAACTGCTGATAAAAGGCATCTGGCCTTTTCACGGCAGTTGGCTTTTATAGGTTGATGATGATGATGATGATGATGAGTTTACTTGTGTATTCAAGAAACTATGTTCAGTAACATTTTAAGTTGATGGGTTTTTGGTTCTAATACATTAAATCGGCATCACTGCTCGTGACATTCACAGCTGCATAGCTGGGCTCTGGGCCTCCTTAGTATAGTAGGGATTTGTCAGGCATGTTTAATAGGCATATTGAAGGTCAATTGATTGAGAAGACATTGTTCCACATGTACTGGTAATTATTCAACCAGTCAACCGTGAGTTCAGTGTTATGTAACATTTATTAATTTAGCTAATCTTCTACTTAATCCATAGCCGTCATTGGTGACATTTAAAGATTGGATTGTGGCGAAATTGGCAGGACATCATTATAATTAATTTATAGAAGCAATCTTGAATTAATTACATAAATATTTAATTTTTGATGCAATCAATAATTAGTTTTTTTTTGTAATAAATTAAGCAACCGTTTTTGTTTCAAATCTTTGCAATAGTCATCTATCCATCAAGGTTTATTATCCCACTGTACATCACGCCATCAATAAATAACACAATATACTAACATTCCCCATCGAATAATTCAAGAAAATGCCATCACGAGTGCGCGTACGCATTTCTTCGTAGTCTCATGTAACAGTGATCTACTTCCTCCCACCCCACTATCTCAGCAAACGCTCGTCCAATGTGTAACAGCCGTGAAATGCGCATGATTCGCGTTTTTGACGAAACTAGGAGTACAATCAGGGGGAAAATTGTTTTGATAGTGGATTACTTTGCAAACCAAAATAATAATTGAGTACCGTCGTCATCCTATTGTCATAAGGACAGTTAAAAGTATAAGTAGACTTTAATCCCGAATGTTTTTAAATAATGACTTGCATATTTTTCTAGATTTAAACAGTTTTGTTAGTGACTGTAAATGTAAAGTAGCCCAGATTATTTTTGATTTTTCTCGGTCTAGTATTTATGTAAGCGAGTAATGCATTAGATTTATCTAAATGAACAACTTAATTAGTTATTTCATGCAGATTATTTTATATCCAACGCAGTAGTTCTTTTTATAATCTCGAGTGAAAGTACTTACTGTTTTCTTATTTTAATTGTGATTCGGAATACATTCGAGAATGTATTTACGACTAAGTTTTACTAAGAAACTGTTTAAACTCTGGTTTTGAATCTCTTTTTACGCTCAGCTGTTTTTATCAATCGAACGTAATAATACGGTAAGACTATATTACAATTGGGACGAGGTTTTACAATTTTTACCTATCCATAAAAGGCCGGCAAGGCACTTGTAGGTACCTACTTCAATGGTTGGGAGTGTCTAAGGGCGGCGTCGATTGCGGCCTGATTCGTCGTGCTATAAAAAGACGACGAAAAGCTTTTCCTAAAAATAAGCATATCTATTTTGCCTATTACGTATTTGACCTGGTCTTTGAGGATTGTAGGACTGACAATTTTATATATCTAACGTCTAGACTTTATGCTATCATTAAAACTAAAAAATAACACTCAAAATAACTTCAACAGTTTTTAATAGGAAATCTCCTGGGTTGACAGTTGCTTGGCAAAACATTCAATTTAAGTAAATATCGTATACGCTATCTACTTTCGGATGAACAAAATACTGTATCTACATATATCATAAAGCGCCTTCCTCACTTCTAATTCAATTATATTTTCTACCTTATGTCGTTTCGGAATGCAATAAACGATTTGAATATGAAACTTCAATCCACAGATTTCTAAAATCTAAGTTCTAACAGTAGCTATGTTTAATGGTTCAAGAAAATGTAGGAATTCTGATATCTATTCATGAACGGAGGTCAAACGACAATCGCTATGCAAAAAATATAACTTAACTAAAACGGTTTCGCTATACAACCTCGATCTTAAGAAAAGGCCAAAACACGAATAATAATTAACATTTTCTAATTAATTAATAGCTTGTTGTTGACATCCAATGATTTAATATATTTTTTGGAAATGTCATATTATGCTTACATTAACCTATCATTCTCTATTAATTTTATTTTTTGAAAGTAGTACCTTCAGCGGGCTCAATATAACGATTTAATTTTCAATGCTTAAATTTGTTTTTTTTTTGTTTTGATATGTAAATGTGTGGATATCAGTTACTTGATTAAATAGAGGATATTAAGGGCCAATTCCAAAGTACCTGGCAACCGATTTTCGACAACGTGTCGTGGGTTTTAATTCCCGTACGGAATTACTCCTTGTGTAATCTACAGAATGTTATCCCGGATCTGGTTGTGATGTGTACTTACGTTTGTAAACGCGTACACGACACAAGAGAAAATCGTTGTGTAAACGCTTAAAAATATGTAAGTGAAATTTTGTTATAAAAACTTATACTTAAATGTTATTGACCAATGCAACCAATCAATAACTAAAGGGTCTGAACTAAACCTTAAGCTACATCAAACATGTAACTTAGGCTACTACCAAATCATTTTCGGGGTCTTTGGATATGACCGCCCCAATCCCCAAAACCACCGTACAATTGAGAGCCTAATGACTATATCTGCTTACTAAGAAATAGAGACAGGTACATAATTATATATGTAAATTAGTGCTCCCAATAAGGTGTTCGTCTTAGATACCTGACTACAACTAGCGCATTATAATTATATACTGTTCGATGAGCCGTAGCCATGCTCATGACCGTAATAAACGCTTTGTCTCAGCTAAAAAGACAGTTTATCAGTCTCTTCATTCTATAAAATGATGGACAGGATAATGATTCTCAGCTAGACAATTGTTTTTTTTTAAAGGAAATAATCATTATATGACATGTCTTGCCCTGGGTGAGGAGAGATGGAGGAGGAGAGTTACTGAATGATGATGTTAGTCTTACTGATTGATTAGCACCGCATGCCGCATTATACTGCATTATTGCAAATATGGCAATTGACCCGAAATTTCACTAACAAAAAAAAAGTCAAAAATAATTTATTCCAATAAGACCCTAACAGGCACTTTTGAACGTCAAACAAAATTTTTAAGATATAGTGTCAGTCTGTCGGTTAGTTCTCTTATCGAAGCTATTTGCTCGTTCCAAAGTGTAGATTCCGATGGCACAGCTTACATCTAATAACGGAAGCCTAATCTGCTCTTAAATCTCGCAACGCACTAGTAACTGTTCTGGCTCTTGTAGGAATCCATGTATAGTAGGTAGGTACTGATCACCGTCAAATAGTCCGTAACTCAGTCACGATCTTATAATAAGATATTATATGATAAGATATAAGATATTATATTATATGATTTAGCTCATGAGATTGTCGACATGTGGGATGTAGACTCAGCAATCATTGTGCCGATAGTCGTGTCTGCCAATGGTCTCATGGCTAAAAGCCTTGATAAACACCTAAGCAGGCTTACGTTAGATGGTTGGGTCAAGAATCTGATCCAGAAAGCTGTACTTCTAGACACGGCGCGCATTGTCCGGAGATTCCTTTCTCTGGAACCCTGACCACCGGTTGCTTGGAACCCTCCCGTAACCGGTGGGATACTGCTTTTTATATTTTTAAGTGTTTTTTTTTTGTTTTATGAAAATATTTAAAAATGTAAAAATCAAGTTTTAAAATAATTATTATTAAATATTATTATTTTGATAATAATTCTAACTTTAAATTAGATATTATTATTTTGATAATAATTTTAACTAAAATCCTTGCTAAAATACATATTTTTTACAAAATAGGCTTTTCCATTCGCAAATGAGGACACGGGCGAAAAAAATATTGTCCAATAGTCTGTCATGAAATATTCTGACACCGATTTCAATGACGTAAGACGTTGCAAACTTATTATGTGTTGCAGCCGTTGATAGAAACAGCTTGGGTAATTAATT